GGGCAGGTCTCTTCGCCTTTCTGGCGCTCCCCTGCAGACTGGCAGTAGGGCCGCACAGCCCCTGGTGTGTGTAGTGCTCTGTCCTGAGAACATCAGTCCCTGCAGATGCTGCCTAAGCTCTCGGTATGTGCGCTGCATGTGGTGAGTCCTCAGCTACTGGTCCCTGGGTGGGAGCACAGCCCCGGAGGCCTCATTCTCCAGCCTGGAGGAGGGGCCCATCTGATTGGGGTGGAGGCCTCTTAGTGTCCCCACACTGGCCAGCCCACAGCATGTATCAAATCTCACTCCAGCACCTTCCTTGGGCCCTACTGTACCATGTGCTGGTGGAAGTCAGAATCGAAACTCTGAGACTAGTGCCTGCTTCAAATCCACTGCCCATCTGGTCCCAGCTGGCTGCACTGACTCCCATGGGCTAAAACGTGGGGTTGATCCCTAGAATAGTCTTTTCCGCCTCTGAAAAATGAGGAGGGCTGCACCCATCCTGCAGGCTGTGGGAGGGGCTGCGCCAAGTTTATAAATGGTAACATTCATGGACAGGGCCTGCTCCAATACTCAGGATGGGTGACACAATTCCCCAAGCATGGTAACTTGGGGTTATGGTGAAATCGTCAGCTGGTTAAGGACACAGATGTCATTGCTACTCACAGCGGGTACTTCCCTAACTGACTCCAGGTAACCGGCTGGTGGGTCAGGGGGGAAATTCACCTGTATTTCTTGTGTAACCTGCTGACCAATGCCTTTGGCTAGCAGATCCCTCCCTGGGCACCAGCCACTGAGATATCACTTACCAAACATGAGTCACGATGTTTCTAGCCCCGTTAGTGCCAGCCAGGCTGGTATGGTGGCAGAACTTCACTGGCTATTGTGGCAGTCCCATGCCAGTTTGCCCTCAGCTCTATTCTGCCCCTTCCCCTGTCTGGCTTTGTGACACAGGGATCTGATCCCCCGGGCTGCATTTCCCTGAGCCCCTCAGTCAGCTGGTCCCAACGACAGGTTTGACCAATGACAGGCACTAAGAGGAGACTGAAAAGCGGGAGAAAGGGAGGAACCAGGGTATTTCTCCCACTTATTCTTTGTCTCAGGAGATCTCTCCATGGTGGCCGAGTCTCTTCGGTGGCTCCAGTAAAGGCCTGACTGGTCCACCATGTTTTTGCTTCAGCTGAGGGGCCTGGGAACACCACCTCTCCCCGTGTCCCTCTTCCTCAAAGGGTGGCAGTGGCTTCACACTAAGGCTTAGGGTTCTCACTGTCTTTGACTACTCAGCCCTTCCAGCCCCTGCGCTGCCAATAATCTCTGAATTAGCTTCCCTGGCTTCCAACGCTCACAGCGGTCCCTCCTTTCTGGTTGGACTCTGACTAGTGGCGATGCAGCATTCAGGATAGGATGCCCAACAGGAAAACTAAGCAAATGCTTTGCAAAGACTTAGTGAAGGCGAGCAGCTAAAAAAATAAGTTGAATCAGATATGGGTGGGACAGCGTAAAAGACAGGGGGAAAGAGTAAAATCTAGATGATGTTACGTGCTGATTGCTTCATAAGCATCTTTACATTCATGTTCCACATTAAAGAAACCAAAACTGGAAATTGTAGGAGGGGCCTTCTGGCTTGGCTTAAGCCAGAAAAACAAGAGGAAGGCCATTTCATGCACATTGGAAAGTTAAAAGTTAAAATAAGGGGTTTAATATACTATTATTTATGATTCTCTTTTTTTTTCTTACAGATACTATTTTTTTTCATGATGTTCTCCTTCAACTAGATTTTTTTTATTATCCTGATTTGATTTTTTTTTTCCCCATGGAAAACAAGAGAAAAATTGCCCACGATATGTCAAGAGAATATACAGTCAGATGTGAAAGGAAAGGGAGCCCCCAGGAATTGAGCACCTACAGTATACCAGGCACACTCGTGATTATTTTCTCACTTATCCTACTTACAATGTTGAGAGGTAGGTACTATAACTGACCCCGTTTCACAAGCAAGGGAACCAAGGCTAGGAAGAATACAGCCTCTTGCCCACAATCTCACAGTTCGTAAGAAATAGTCTTCAGGTATGGCTTGTTCCAGCCTCCAGATTCTTTCTGCTTCCCTAGGCAGCTTCCAGGAGTTTGTTGAAAGTCTAGCACATGCTTATGAGGGGGCAAGTGGAGTCCCTTAAGGCAAGGACCAAGGCTGGTACTTACTTGCTGCCTTGCCCTGGGAACGAATTGAGCTACCCACTGCACTAATGCATCACTGAACTCAACACAACCCTTTGGGTTGCCTCATTCCTGACTTAGACTCAGCTTCCCAGGGAGGGGGAGCCCCACAGGGTGACCAACTTATAGGGGTTTAAGGGGGCCCACTCTGAAGTGCAGAAAAAACAACAAAGTGTGTAGAGTGGTATGGCACATCAGAAACTGGGGCGGTGTCAGAATGGAAACAACTCCCAGGTTGGGAAGCAGGGGCTTGGGTTCCACTGACTCACTGGGTGAGCTTGGATGAGTCTCTGTTTCTTGGGGGCCTCAGTTTCTGCTTCTATAAAAGGGGGTCCTTTCCGGTTGTGTCAGTCTCTGATCTTTTTCACAAGGTGGCTGACTCCCAGACGCACTGAATTTGACCAAAAGGCCAAGGCCCCCTCTACAGTTTCCACCTGTGCACTGACCCCCCATATCCCCACCCAGGCCAGGCTACTGATGAGTTTATACTACAGGCTGCAGGTGGCATGGTCTGTGTACCCTGTGTGAGACTGTGATGGTGGTTCCTTACCTGAGCTTACTCATAACAGAGCCCAAACTGCGTCATGGAGACTCCACCAAGGAAACCAATATTTATGCTGCCCTCACCCAGTGCCCGTCCCTCCAAGGAAGGTGTTATCCCCATTTTACAGGGAAGGAAACCAAGGCCAAGAGAAGGGAAGTGACTTACCCCAAATTCTCACAGCTTTGATTCAGCAGAACTGTAAACCAAATCTGATTCCAGATTCCTGTGGCTTTCACCCTAAATCTGCTTCCTCCCTGGCTGATTAGAACTCCTGTCCCCCACCCCACCCCCAGCACCAGTCAACTCATCATTCAGGGATGGGAGACGAACCTTCATAATGTTCCAGATGAGGCACTCAGTGCATTTCCAAGGGCATCTTCCAAGGGTGATCCAGTGTGCCAGGAATAAGTCTCTTTGGGACCTTGGACAAGCCCCTTCTCACTGGTGCTCCCCTTCACACCCTCCTGTGTTGGCCTACAGAGATCACTGGGAGTCTGAGGCTGGTGCTGGGGCCTGGCCCCAAGCCTGGGTTCCCTGAGAGGTGAAGGGGTGGTCTTTATGCTGCAGAGGGACTTTCTGAAGTCTTGGGACTTAGCTTATAGGGTGCTGTGGTATCCTGACTGAGGCTGGGCTGGTGAGTCAGAGGCTGAAGTTCTAATCCTATTCCAGAATACTGTGTGACCTTACACAAACCACCTTGGACCTCAGTGTTCTGGCCTGTGAAATGGGAGAGTAGAGCTTGCCAGGGAAATGGTAAAAGCCGCCACCCTCTACCCTCCATCCCTCGAGCCTGACCCAGCTTCTGGGAACGTGGAAGAGTAGGCTGAATGGTCTTCCATGTCTTTTCTACTTTTAAGTCCCTCAGAGCCTAAATCCTCTGGGGATTGAAGGATGCAAAGAAGCTGACGAAAGGCACGTCAGGTGGAGGAGCAGTGTGAGCAAAGGCCTAGAGAGAGCAGGAAAGCTCAGGGGCCTCAGCGAACCCTGAGGGCCCTGAGGGACAAGCTCAGGCCGCAGACCCCCAAGCTCTGCAGAGGGCCTCTTGACATAGTCCTGGTGAACCACGAGGTTCACATGGAAGGCCTTTCCTGGGGCAGGCAGGCCGTGGCTGGGCCTGAGAGCTGATGATGCCGTTTCATGTGTTTCCCATTTGTACTTAGTCCCAACTGCCATAAAATCCCCCAAAGAGCCACCCAGCCACACATGTGGACGCCTCTCCCAGGCAACAATGGTGGTGGACAATAGCAGGGTGTCAGCCGCAGCCAGGGGCCAGGCGGTATGGAGAGGAGCCCCCCGCCCACTGGAGGATCAGGGCTCCCAGCCCGCCCAGGCCAACGCTGGCCTTAATTAAGACGGAGTCTCCCACCCAGGAGCCAAACCACCGCCCCGCCGCGCCCACTCCAACTGCTGCTTTCCGTTCTGCTTCTTGGGCCGCGTGCTGAGGCCAGCTCCACAAATAAAAGCCATCACTTTTTTTCTCTCTTTCTCTTTCTTTCTTTCTCTCTCTCTCTCTCTCTTTTTTTTTTTCCAAAAAAGAGAGAGGCAACCACAAGATCTTCTAAGAGGCCGTGACATCATGACCCAGGTGACCGTGGCCCAGCCAATGGGCCAAGGCCGCGAGCGGGCTGCTTGCATCCTGTGAGCTGAGGTTGGGTTGACACTGTGAAGGCCTGGTCCCTCAACCACAGAACCACAAGGCCAGGCCCTCGGCTGCCTCCAGGGCCCTGCGAGGGAGCTGGTTGGCTCCTAGTCCTCCCACCCCCAGCCGCCCTCGCACCCACCGGAGCCTGGGCTCTGTTGAGGGTAAGCCTCATTCATTCATTCCCTGTGGCTGGTGGGGGCCTCCTCTGCTCTCTCAGCCCAGAGCTCCTCCACCCTGGCTGCCGAAAGCCCCTTCCCGCCATCTAATGATACACTCTGCATACGCTTCTGTTGAAAATTTGTGGCTAGACATTCCTGTGGGACCGGGAATCCAAATTCTTGGGTACAAACAGAAACTTACTTTCCTTGGGGATTTTTTTTTTTTTTCTCTCTCTTGCTCACACACACACACTCTCGCGTTCTTTCCTTTTTTCTTTTTCGTAGCAGCAGGGAGAAAAAAGAGACAAAACAAAACAAAAAAAAACAAAACAAAACGCAATACCCCCCCCCCTTTTATTCTCAAAAGTAGCTAAGAAAAAGAAACCCAAAAAAACAAAAACAACAGCCAACCAAGTCAATCCCAACCCAACCCCCTGAAGGGCTGAATTCTCGCCTTCTCCAGAGCGGGGCATGGCATCCAACAGTATCTTCGATTCCTTCCCGACCTACTCGCCGACCTACATCCGTGGTGAGTAACAGTTGCCCAGGGCCCTGGGCTGGCCCTTGCGGGTGGGGAGCTGTGGCCAGGCCCCGGACCACGTCCCGCCACCAACCACCCGGGCTGCCCTCAAGTGCCTAGATCTGCTGGCCTCTGAAAGCCTGGGGCGGGCAGAGGGTTGGTGGTGTGGAACGTTGCTGTGAGACTTTTATCCTTAGCTGGTGGGGACAGCTAGCAGCAGGGGCAATGGACACCGCAAGGCCTCCAGACCTCAAAGGCCAGACCTTGGAGTGGTGGGAGGTCAAGGTGGGGAGTCTCTGTGATCTCGGTGTAGAGAGCCTTGCTAATGTGGCTTCTGGGCCCTCCAGCCCTAGCCCCGGGTCTGCCGGAGCTGGAACCTACCACCTGGACTTAGGCAAACATGGGCTGGCCAGCTTCGGAGGACAGCCATGAGTGGCAGACAGGGGACAAGGCTGCTCCTCAAGATCCAGAGACCTTCCAAGGCTCATAGCCCCCATTTACCATGTAATCCTGGGGTAAGGGAAGAGGGAGGGGAGGGAATTTCATGCTTTTGTGGAGAACTTGTGTGGCGCTGAGCTGGACTGAAGCTGGATCTGCCTTGGGGTGGAGGGGTGGTCAGGCTTCGGGAAGGTTTGTGGACTTGGCCACGGAGGAGAAGAAAATGTTTCTGGGCAGATTTTGCTTCTATTCCTGGCCTGGAGGGACCCAGGATTCTGGGTTGTGTCTTTTAGCAAGGAGAAGGGTCTGGGATCCCAAACTGGGATCTAACTGGGGCTGGGGAGTCCATTCCTGCCTCTCTCTGGCCCTTGGGACTGACGTGTCTGGCCTCAGGCACCCCCTGCCACCTTTCTCCTCCCCAGCAGGAACCCAGAAGGGGCTGTGGCACCTGAGGTTGGGTCCCTGAGTGTGGGTCCCACAGCCCAGCAGCTTCCTTGCTGAGAGACCTTAGGCAAGTTAATTAACCTCTCTGTACCCCTCTGGCTGTGGCATTCTGATTGTCTGAGGCTGGGGTTAGGCTGTGTGTGAGGGCAGTGCCTCTGGGTTGTGGGGACCAGTTCTGCTCCAGAACGAGGGGCTGCATGGGATCTAGAACTCCACCTTTAGGGGTGGGGTGCTGCTGCCTTTCCTCAGCCAAAGGGGTCAACAGAGATGCGGGGGTCTGTCCGACTGTCTGTCTGCCTGGCCGCTGCTGGCTAACAGAGGGAGTGGGACCCTGTGCCTGGGTTTGTGGTCCACAGGCTTCTGTGAAGGCTTGTCCAACAGGAGGGCCTGTTCCTCTTCCCTGATGAGGCCAAGGCTGGCAGTGCAGCTGCAGGTAGGGACTGAGAAGGGGAGAGAAGGGGCCTGCAGTCCCCCAAAGTAGGGGCGCTGCCACCCAGCCTGGGTGTGGCCAGTGGCAAGCAGCAGCCCCAGGCCCCGGAGCTGAGAGCCGAGGGCTCCTTCCTTCAAGCTCCAGCCATTACAACGTTGTTCCCTTTGTAGTCCACAGAGCTAATTAAAGGCAGTTCTGTGGCCAGAAAATAAGAGTTTATAAAAACCATTTGCTGGGTCTTTGTAATCTGTATTTCAACGTCCATGAGCAAGATGGAGAAATGTAGGGTTTAAAACAAAGGAGTCTTAGGAGACAGGGCTAACGTGCTGTCCCGCCTGGGATGGGCTCCTTAGGCCCACAGCAGCACCAAGGGAGAGGGGAAGAGGAGAGCCACTGGCCTTGGCCCAGTATGTGCCCAGAGATAGGAGGCTGCTGGGAAGAGCAAGGACTGGTCATCAGGGGAAGGTGTAGAAAGTGCCTTATAGGCTGAAATCCTGGGGGGCCAGTCTGAGGTCTGGGGTCCTAGGCTTTCCCTGTGATTCCATGAAGAAGTCCTGTCCATACTGTTCTCTGGCCCTCTCTCTCCTGCCCAGTTCCCCCATGCTTGCTTTGCGGACCTATCTCCCAAATTCTGTTCCTGAGGCTCACAGGGCCCCAGCTGCCAACTGTCCCCAAAGACACTCAAACCTAAGGTCTCCCGCAGAGCTCTGGCTCCGCGCTGCCTACAGGGTCCTTCACCTGTTCTGAGCCTCCCAGTCTCTGCAGCCTGGGGAAGCCAAGTCTATAGAATACAGTCATCAGACCAAAAGGGCAAGCCTGTGAGACGGTGACTTTGTGTCTCTTCATGAAGGTGGTCACCTTCCTGCAGCAGTGATAAGCGCGCAGTATTTCAGGATAATCCGAAACGCTCCTAATGAGACTGAAGAATATCTGTGCTTCCTATTGGTGACAAAACGGCTGTGGGAAAAGATGGTAAATATCAGTTAGAAGTTGACAAAGGGAGAGGGGCCATGATTTCCAGCCCAAGTTCACAGACCCCCCCAAGGCCTACACATGTCAGAGCCTCCAGGCCTCCAGTGTGTTATCGCTTAGAGTCTCAGCAGAAGGGTAAGAGGCTTGCTCTACCCTCCACTGCCTTCGGCTTCCTCTTCTCCCTTTCTGCCTCCTCCAAACGCTGTCTGAACCCAGTCTCCGAGCAAGGTGTCAGCGCCCCTGGGGAGCTTCCAAACACTGGGTTCCCATCTCAGACTGCAGAATCAGAAACTCTTGGGTTTGGGCCTGGGCAAGTGTGGTTTTGAAAATCCCCTCAAAGTGATTCTGACATGTATCTCCGACTGGCTTAGGAACTGCTGGCCAGGGAGAGCCCAGTCCTCCACCGGGGGCTGTGTGACTCGGTCTGAGTCACTGGACATCTCTGGGTTACTATTCTCTCATCAGTAAAAGGGCCTGAGTGAGTTGGATACGATCAGTGCTCCTTGAGCTGGCCCAGTCCCCTCTGTCTCCCTCATTGTGACTTGAGTACTGTCACCGAGCTCCTGCTACCTCAGTGTCCCTATAGAGCAGAGGGAAATGGGTTCCCTTTCGTTTTTACCAGCCAGCACAGGCTGAGAATGAAGTGTCTCATCGTGCCCTGCCTTCTAGTAACCTAGAGCCCGCCCAGAGGCCTGTTGAGGCAGCAGGAGAGTCCTAGGCCCCCCAAACGAGGGTGGTTGCTTGGGTGTGACATTTCACAGCTGCCGCGCACCCTGCTTCTCTTGGTTCCCCTGACTTAAAAGAGCAGGGGTTTTCATTTTGAGCCAAGGAACCCCAACTCCCCTGGATTCATTGTGCAGAGAAGAGGTTTGGGAAGAGGTTAGAGAGACATTTGATTCTGCCCAGCAAGCAGAGGGCTGAGCAGGAGGCGAGAAGAGGGCAATAGGGTGCCTGCCAGGTGGACAAATGGGTTATATTCCTCTTGTTCTCAGGGGAAGCTGAGACCTGACAGCTATGACTTGGACATTCTGTGTGACTATATGCCAGTCCCCTCCTCTTTCCGGGCCAGGACACCAGGGTGGTCTGGGGAGACGGGTGTGTACAGGGAAGCCTCAGTTTCCCCATCTGACAATTTTCTCCATCTGTCAATTTCCCCATTTGACAATTTTGGGCAATGGCCTTGAGAATCTCAGGGTGCCTTCCCACAGCCCCACTGGGGGCTAAGACTTCATACTGAATGTGCCCCCATGAAGCCCTTCTCTGTACCCCCAGGCACCCCCCTCATGCGAGTTGCCCCCATAGCACCCCTACATTGCACCCCACTAGCGTAAGCTCTCTCCCAAGGGCAGTTGCCTTCTAGGAAGGAGGAAATAGCCTAAACCACCCTATCAGGATTTAAAGGAGCTCTGGGGAGGCAAATGTTTTCATTTGCTAATTTAGTAATTGTACAAGAACATATTAAGGAGTACTGAGATTCAGTCTCGGGCTCTGGAGCCAGACTCTGCCCCTCACTGTCACCTAGGGCCAGTGAATGCTTCGCCTCTGTCTCCAGTTTCCTCACTTTTGAGGGATGATCGTTATGCCAACCTGCTATGGAGAGAATGTGGGCAGAGAGCCTGGCACAAAGAAATTGCTCAGTAACTGTTTTCCTTCTGAGTACTCGGAGCCAGGCCTCGTGCTGGGAACCCATGGAAGACAGGTCGTAATCTCTACTCTAACAACTTAGGCTGGCGGGGGAAGGGACCGGCAAAGAGGACATGACTCTGGAGTTTGGGAAGTGTATATGGGGGAAGGTGAGGAAGGATCCCAGCCTGGGGGAGGAGAGGACACATCCCTGGAGGACTGGCGTGCAGCTGAGTCTGCCCCCGAAGAAGGAGCAGTCTGGGCAAAGGTGTGGTGGCCGGAGAGGATGAGTTGACTCAGGTGCCGCTGGGATGGCTGGGGACGTGGTGAGTGTGCTGGGAGACGGCTTGGCCACAGGACTGGCCTCAACTGTCTGGACAAGGTCCTCCCAGTGGTGATTGGACTTGGCCACCAGCTCTTCCCCTAAAGAAACCCAGGAGAAGTGGAAAATGGAGTCTCAGACATGGAGCAGGCCCGTGTGGAGGCAGGGGGTGGATGAAATGGCCCTGGACAGGTCTGACTGGGATGGTCTGACTCAGAGGTCACTGGACAGGGAGGACACTGCCCAGACCAGGGAGGTCAGTCAGTGTGTCCTTTGCTAAGCTCCGGACAGTGGCCTGCAACAGAGGACTCTGTTTCAGCAGTGAAAGTCCCGAGTCCCAGGAAACTCCTCTATCTCAGGCAACCCCGGACGGTGGGTCACCCTGAATGCGTGTCCGTGGAAGGCTCCCCCACCCCCACCAACCCTGGGAGATGAACGGACTGACCGCCAGCCATTCTGCACCCACTATGGCGCTTGCCTGGCGCCACATCTGCTAGGCCCCTTTGACGGCGGCTTCTGAGGCCACCCTGTACACACCCGTCTCCCCAGACCACCCTGGTGCCCAAAGTGCCCCCCAGGCTAGAAGGGCATTCCTGGGAGCCCCCCACTGCCCACAGGGTCTGGGCAGACGTGAGCCCGCTCCACACAGTGGGACTGTGTGTCCTGGCCTCACCGCACCCACTACGGCCGCCGGCGGCCCCCAGCAGCCCCGCTGGTCATATAGAGGGCCCATTGACACCTCAGCCTTGAGGTGGCCGCATCAAAGAGAGGCTTGCTCCCTCACTGAGGGGGAGGGGGCCCCCGAGACGATGCTCTGAGCAGAGAGGCCCGAAAACCTGACCTTGCAGAGGCTCTGAGAGGCAGGAAGAGAGTAGCGTCCTCTGACCCCGGCCCTGCCCCCGAGCCAGCCCGGACTCCACAGGTAGGGACTGAGGCCTGGGCTCCGGATTCAGCGAGGCAGCCAACACACCAGCTCTTATCACCTTCTCCTGGGAACACCTCATCTGCAGACCCTTCCTCAAATCTGCCACCAAGACTGTGCCCTGCTGGTCGTCAGGAGTCTCACCCAACTTGCAGTCTAAGCACAAACATTCCCTCCTCCAAGAGTCATCCTGGGCTGCCTGCAGCTCCCAGGGTGCTCTGACTCCTCTGTACCTCAGGCCTGGGGCTGGCCAGGGGCAGTCCCTGAACTCAGCCAGCCCTTCCCACTCTAGTCATGAGTAGCCTGCCTTAGGTGACGGAAGGAAAGGGAAGGAAGGAAGGAAGAAGGGAGGGAGGGAAGGGATGAGGGCCGCCTTTAGTCCTCAGTGGGCTCGGAGCCTGGGCCCTTGTCACTGGTCTCCTGAAGGAAGCAGCTGGGACACACGGAGCTGGCAGTGTGGAATGGGCTGGGAGTGAGACTTGGGTCTTGCCTTGAGAAGCCAGAAGAACAATGAGCCAATCCAGGAGAATGTCTGGGGGCAGAGCATACCCCTCCTCATCTTATAGATGGGGAACCTGAGGTCCAGAGAGGGGTGGCCTTGTGAAAGGTTAAATTTAGCTGCAAGAAAACAACCTTTTCTAAGCTTCCTGGGACTATCCATCTGCCTTGCAGGTAGTTTAGGAGTCAGACTGACCAGGGTTTAGGCTGCTCGGTAGCTGGGTGACCCGAAGTGTGTGTTAATTAAGCTCTTTCAGTCTCAGCTTCCTTCTCCGTGAAATGGGCTAGCAATGCTGACCTCAAAGGGTGGTTGCAAAGAGTGAATGTGGCCCTGCCCTGCAGCCCTGGACAGGGGACCTGGTATACAGTGAGTGCTCACTGGGTGCACGCAGGCCTCCCGATCACTTGCTACTTGGCAGATGTTTCCACGCCTCACCTCATTGCTCTTTCTCCAGTGCGGAACCCTGATTTTCTCAGGGCTGGAGTGGGGTACACCCATGCTGCTGGTGGCCCTTGTTACTGGCTCTCAGGGGCAAAGGAGGCAGGTCTTTGGTGAGGAAACAACAAAATGCAGGGCAATAAGCCCAGACTGCAGCCAGGCTCTGCCCCTTCCCTGCTGTGTGGTCTTGGGCAGAGTGCCTCACCTCTCTGTGCTCCGTTTTCTCATCTGTAAAATAGGGAAAATTAACAGCATCCACCTCAAGGTTTACTGGGTAGATTTAGCGAGCTAATACATGATATGTGTACGACACAAGTCCTGGTGCAAAGCCAAGCGCTCCATAAATACCAGAAACTATTACTATTTAATAATCTTCTTCTGAAAAAAACCTTCTTTCCAGTGGTGAGCGGGATGGGGAAAGTGAGAAACCATGGCTGTCCCTGGGGAGACTTCCTGGCCCTTCCCCTTCTCCCCTGAAAGCCTGGGGATGCCCTGCCACTACAGTCCATCACCTACACCCCACAGGTGTCCAGGGGGTGCTCCTGGGAGCAGGGGTAGGCTCACAGCGACCCTCAGTCCTTCTGACTCAATGGTGAGAAGAACGGAAGAATGAATGAGTGGCCCGATTATTTGTCGGCCCAAGAGGTTTCCAGCTTCTCTCATCACTTCCCCCTTCATCGTCTGGCTTTTCTTTGAAATGTTTGTTGGCAGGAGCCTGAGCGCTCCTGTCCAATCAGTGAAGGCAGAATGAAGGTTTAGGTTCCTCTTTGGGGTTTTCTTTCGAGTCTGGGAAAAGTGTTTTGGCAAAAGGTTCAGACTTACGCGTGGGTGGAAAGGGCAGACGTGTATAACTTACGATTTGCGGGGTGACCAAAGGCGGCCCCCCCTCCAAAGGTCCTTCACTGCAGGACACGATGACTGAGATGGCATCATGATCACGCAGTCCGTGTGGGGTTTGGGCTTGTTCACACGCTGGTCCCTTCCTATCATGCACACCTGAGTCCACCTGATCTGCTCACCTTTGTCGAAGGAGTTAGAAGGTTGGTCCAAGGAAGCAGATGGCATTCAGGGGAGAGGATATGGAGAGCTTACAGGGCGAAGCAGAAGAGGATGAGGAGGAGAGGTCCACTTTGACCATGCTCTTGTCCCGGAAGCCAAAGTGCCTGCATTCCAGTGACTGAGAACCAAACCCACAGCCCCAGGAGCTGTCCTCAGGCGAGGGTTGCCCTCCGGTTGGTTCTCCCTCAGTGAGTCCGGGTTCTCTTCCCTCTCCCCACCTCCTGAGGAGGCAAGGGCAAGAGGCTAGACCTGCTGCTGCACCTCCCCCAGTCCAGAGCACCCTGGTGCCTTGGGGAGAGGCACTGGGTCCAGGATGGTTGGAGCAAGTCAGGAGTAACAGGGGGCCCATGGGGAGACCCCAGACCCCCCCCAAGACTCCCTACGGAGCAGCTGTATTGCTTCCTGAGGGGAAAGGAAGCCACTTCTGAAAACAAGCCACCTAAGAAAAAAGACTGGAAGGAAATGCCAAAGCATCATCAGTAAGTTAATGCTGCATGGTGCTATGGTGGCATAAAGTAAAGATTCCTCTTTATTTTAAATTCTTTTGGTGATTTTGAGTTTTCTAAACTTTTAAACACTGACCATGTATTACTTATAAATTTAAGGAGAAAAAAATTTTTTTTCAAAGAAAGAAAGAGGAAGGAGCAGCCCTACCCTCCCAGGAGCAGGCCAGCTGGGCTCCAGCCTAGGACCAGCCTGTTCCTGCCCAGCCAAGGCCCTGCTGGCTGTCTCCTCTCTGTTCTTCTTCCCAAGTCCCCATATCTGTTGCCTGTGTCCCTGGTTGTGCCCTGCCAATCTAGGGAGCAAGAGTAATCTTAGGCTGGGCAGAGCCGCACATATAGCAGGTGCTCTGGCAGCGCTTGTGACTGGAGGTGTGGGCCTGATCTGGAGATGCAGGCCTGGTTTCCCAGTGGACTTGGGATGTGAGGTGGGCAAATCCATGCTGCTGATTCATTCAGGGAACATTCATGGAGCAGCCACTGTGTGCACGCACCATTCTGGATGCTGAGGATGCAGGAGTAAATAAAACAGACACGATGCCTGCCCTCCTACAGCTGGCAGGCTAGTGATGTGTGGGAAGAGGTAGCATCAGGAACATTCACTCCTGCATCAGCGAACAGTGTTTTTCAGCATTGTAGTTGTCAGTTACAAATCGGGGAACTGATTCTGAGAGAGGGGGCTGTCTTTGCCTAAGCCTCATAGCCAGGGAATTACAGAACCTGTTCTAAGCTCCAGGGCCCCTGAGACTGAGCCCAGACCTGAGCCTACCCCAGCCCCACTGAGAAGGAGTCCTTTCCTCGGCCTGCCCACACCCCTTTGCTTTAAGTCCTTTCTACCTACCTAGAATCTTAGCTTTCTGGGAGGCTAAGCGTTCTGGCACTGTGCCAGATTCTTTGCAAGCATATCCCGTTTTATTTAATCTCTACAAAAATTCATGTAGTAGGTGTCATCATCATGACAATCCTCATTTTACAGATGAAGCTTGGCAAAGGGAAGTGATTCATTCACCCAAGGTCATGTAGTTAGTAACTGGCAAGGCTGGGTTCATGCTAGGGTCTGTCTGAAATCAAAGCCTACCCATCAAACCCTTCCTTCTACCTGGCAGGCGTCTTCTCTTCCTTAAGGCCTAGACGTACCACCTCCCCAGAGCCCTCCCTGATACCTCCAGGCAAGGTGATTTATGTCCCACTCTGTGCAACCATAGTAACTTCAGGCCCTTCTCAAATGTTCCCAGAAGGCTTCCTAGAAAGGCGACTCTGATCTGGATCTAGAATAGGCAGATCTGGGACAGAAGGAAACTTGGTGGGTGCAGGTGTTGTGAATGACGGGGACAAAAGCGAGGAAGAGGGACCAGGCACAGAGGATTTCAGAGAGATAGAAGGGCTGAGTGATAGGAGCCTGGATCAGGCCTAGAGGATCGCACATGGCTTCAAGGCAAGGTTGAAGGTCCGGGCAGGATCTGAGAGGGGTGGGGATGTGGGGCGAAGCATCCCATGATGCACAGGGCCGAGCTCGGAAATAGGCCAATGCAGACGTGGCCCTGAGGGCACGTACATGTGTGAACTGAGACCACAGGGGCCTCCCGCACCCACTTGCAAGCCCTATTTTTACCACTCTCTAGACAGCACATCTGAGCAGCCGAGGCTCACTTGTTCTCAGGCACGTAGAGTGCTCCGTGGATGGCCACATTTGTGGTCGGAAGAGGACAAGGGCGAGGGTTCAGAGCAGTCAGAATGAAACCTCTCCTGGGAGAATCCCAGGAGCTAACGCCAGCTATGTAATTTTCAGGACACAGCACAAAATGACAATACAGGGTCCTTATTCAAAACTCATTAGAAATTTCAGGACAGGCTCGGCGCCTGTAGCTCAGCAGCTAGGGCGCCAGCCACATACACCAGAGCTGGCGTGTTCGAACCCAGCCTGGGCTTGCCAAACAACAATGACAACTACAACCAAATAATAGCCTGGCATTGTGGTGGGCACCTATAGTCCCAGCTGCTTGAGAAGCTGAGGCAAAAGAATTGCTTAAGCCCAAGAGTTTGAGGTTGCTGTGAGCTGTGATGCCATGGCACTCTATAAAGGGTGACATAGTGAGACTCCGTCTCCAAAAAAAAAAAAAAACAAAAAACCAAGAATTTCAGGCCAGCAACAATAGAATATCATACCAAGAATGGGGCCCTTCAAATTAGGGGCCCATGAAGCCACCCTGCCTAGGACAGCCCTTGGAGGGGTGCTCAGCCTGAAAGCAAATTTCCGTCATCCCTTTGCCTTGTGTGGGCTTCCATCCTTCATGAGTCCACAATTTAAAAAATAATAATCAGTGAGACCTTGGGTAAGATCATACCCTGAAGATTTTAGAACCAGAAACAACATTAGGGAAAACACGAACCCAACCAACATCCTCACCCCATCTGCATTTTATGTTGTTGAATGCCTGAATGAGCTAAGAAATTTAAATATAAACTCGGTAATCTCAACAACCAGAAAAACCACTGTCGTTCCGTGTATTTCCTTCTAGTCTATTTTTTCCCTGGCTAGTTTCTTCCTCGATAAGGTCTCTTCCCTCCAAGTGTGAGTCAATTCAGAAATATATTTGAGAACCTCATCAAAAATATTAACAGTCAGCAGGAGTGAGCACTCACACCTGTCATCCTAGCACTCAGGGAGGCCAAGGCAGGAGAATCGCTGAAGCTCAGGAGTTCAAGACCAGCCTGAGACCCTCCTCACCCAGTCTTAACTAAAAATAGAAAAATTAGCTGGGCATGGTGACAGGTGCCTACAGTCCCAGCACTTGGGAGGCTGAGACAGGAGGATTGCTTGAGCCCAGGATTTTGAGGTTGCTGTGAGCTATGATGATACCATGGCACTCTACCCAGGGCAAGAGAGCAAGATTCTGTCAAAAAAAAAAAAAAATAAAAGAATATTAACAGTCATTACAAGATGAGTATCCCTAATCCAAAATGTTTAGGATCAGAAGCATTCAGGTTTTAGATTTTGGATTTTTTTGTAGTTTGAAACGTTTGTGTTATGTTTAAACCTGAAATCCAGAATGCTCCAGTGAGCATTTTCCTTGAGCATGACATTGGCCTTCAAAACGTTTCATATTTTGGAGCATTTCAGATTTCAGATTTGGGGATTAGGCGTACTTAACCTCTATACATGTATGTCAGGATTTGTCTAGGAAAAATCTAGAACAACACTGTCCAACAAGACTTTCTGTGATGATGAAAATTTTCTATGCCCGTGCTGCCTGAGATAGTAGCCACTAGCTGCATGTGAATATTTAGCCCTTGAAATGTGGCTCGTGCACCTAAGGAACTGAATTTTTTTTTAATCTTACTTCACTTTAATATTTTAAATAGCCATATGTGGCTGATGGCCACCTTGCTGGACCATGCAGATCTAAAATAGTGTATACGCAACTATTAACTGGGTTATCTCCTAGGATATGATCGTGGAGTTGTTTTGTTTTACAACTCAAAATATTTGAAATTTTTACGCATACCAAGCATGTATTACTTCTGGAATCAAAAGAAAACTACTGAAGATTTTA